TATATTTCCTTTTGTTGACGTCAGGCGAGGAACATAAGCTCGTGGAACAATAACACGCCATATATATCTCTATAATACATATTGTCATTTATACAATAGACGCCATAAAATTTAGGTTATATTTACATTATCTGTACCTAACAAACGAAAAAGGGGAGGCAGGGATTACGAGCATTATTTTTGCCCATTGCAATAACATCTTCTATATAATCCCCCAAAATATGAACATTGGCTTTTACTATTCTTGACATCAACTGCCGGCTTTAATAAATATATTGGTAAGACCAGTGTTCATTCAGTAGTTTTTATTTATTTGTCCGACACCTTTCGAAGAAAGCAAGAGACTAATAAAAAGGGTCTGTCCGCCCGTCTGTCTGTCCGTCACACTTTTTTGGACACAATAACTCTCCTAATTGAATTAGCATAAAATTAAACTTAAATTAGAAGCAAGTCGTGTTAGTAGGTATTTCAACACAAGCATTTAATGGAAATAATAGGGCCTACACGAGATCAACCCAGTCCAATAATGTATTTTGTATCTAAATTAAAGAGGTTAAGTTCCTTTAATGTTAGATCCAGGGACCCCAAATTAGTTCTAAAAATATATTTGTACCGTAAATAAATATGTCATTTATTATGTTGTATATGTTTCTGGTAAATAAATCTATCTATTTATTTGTGTGTTGTGACGGACAATGACCAGAAAATGCCCCCTTTTCACTGTTGATGCGTTCATCGAGATTGTCAGTGGTGCAGGACGGAGGGCTGTCTAGTCGTTCGGGTGGGACGAAAACCGAGGCCCCGTGTACACATTGGCGTTTACGGAAAAGATCCCTTGGCAGTTGGAATTTGATATAAGAGTAGACCATAGTGCCGCTGCCCGGGCAAAATTTCCCTCATAGCACATTGTATATGGCGTGTCCCGTCTTCATTAGCCCCGTCGGTACAGAACAGTAGGACGTTAAAGCCTATTTCATTTCACTGTTGATAAGGGACCTCAGAGGAATTTTCAGCCAGGTGTCCCGTATAAGCTTAATTCAGCCCTGCTTAGAAGGTATACTGTGTCGCTATGTCATTCCTTTATTATAGCTACTATTCAAACGGTCAACTTTAGTTAATACGTGAATGCATGGGCTTGAGCTTGGTCAATATAAGGCCAAAATCAAAGGTAACCATGCATGTAACTTATTGCAAACAAACGTCGTTCAGTTCCTTTGTGGAGACCTAAGCAGAATTCTCACTTAATCCACCCATAATTGTGTCTGATATTTTGGGCCAGAAAGTAAATTCTCAAGTAAAATAATATTTTCTAGCAGTGAATATTCATGTAAAAATCGAGGCCAACCTTGAACAGCCCTACCAATCAATGTTTTTTATTCATTACCATACTATACAAGTAGATTAACGGTACAGTGCTAGAACGGATTTTGTAAAATCGGTGATATGATATGAACGAGAGGGAGATATATTTTCTGATCATTTACAACTATAAATTTCTAATAAAATTACTTGGTAACTACAGGCATCGTTTAAAATGTACATAGATTTATTTTAAACCCTCTTATATTAAATTACATGTACTAACTTTTAAGCTTGTATATATACATGTATTTATTCATTATATACATAATTGTATTATATGATGCCTGTAAACGTAAATATTCATTTGTTAATAAAGATTTATTAAAAAACAAAAACAAAAAAATGTCGCTGGCTCGCTAGCCTGAGGTCGCGTGTTCGATTCCTGCAATGACCGAGAAAGTTTATCGGGACTTTCTGGCGTGGTTTCCCCTTGTCAGCTGTGCGGGACGGGTGGCCTTAAAAGGACAAATGTCTAGTCTGTCGAATGGGACAAAAACCCGATTCCCGTGTATACATTGGCATGCACGTAAAAGATCCCTTGGCAGTTAGAATTTGATATAAGAGTAGGCCATAGTGCCGCAGCCCGGGCAAATTTTCCCTCATAGCACACTGTATGGCGTATGCCAATTTTCCTTAGCCCAGTATAGGAGCAGAACAGCAGGACGTTAAACCCTGTTTCATTTCATTTCGATATGAACGAGCATTACGACGTTACAAAGCCAAAATTCTGCCAGCGTCTGAAATTACTTCTCGAATCATTTCGCATACCTTGGTTCTGTACTCAGTTCGGAAATGCGACTTATCCATTCAAACAGGCTTGTCCAAAACATTAATTTATGTAGAAATGACATTTATTGGTATACCAACATACTTTTATTGTAAAATGAAGAATATTTTACAGTTATAAACTCAAGTTATTGAATTGTTTCACATCCACTCCTTTGCTTTGTAACAGCATCAGCGCTATTTTTACACCATGTAGCGTGTTTGTAGGATATGGCTGGTTGATTATTGTTCTGCTTCACTGATTGTTCTCCAGTCAATAGTTTGTTGACTGTCTGTGTCATGGAGTATTGTTGTTTACGTTTGATGACTGGTCGACTCGGTCATTCGGTACAGTGGCCATAAACATTCATTTACTGCGTTAAATATCAAATGTTAGGCTACCTGGAGCTTGTGACGTCCGAATTATTAGTATGACAAGAAAGACGGGGGAGGGTAGACCGTCTCGTCAAAACAACACTCCGGTGAATAGGCCTATATGGTTGTTAACTTCTTTGGTTTTATGTAGCGGTTGTGGTGATTTTGACCAACTAAGTGTACAGAGTACATCACTGATTGTTTGCCCGGCACTAGGCGTACTCGGAACTGGAATGGAATGTGGTTTTACGTCTAATAAAGACAATGCCTCTTTCTTGTTGAGATAAACGTTGTATTTTTTTGTTTCTATGGTTATGTGTGGCCGTGGGAGGTAGAATTTTGACCTGGCAACGGGGTTATCGCCTACTCTTCTTCCATTTCCAAATAACAAGGGTTCTTTTCAGGGATGTAACTAACGAGGGGCAACGAGGGGGGGGGTCTCAGGGGTTGCTGTAAAACTGGCGGACAATGTATATCTATTGTTTTTAAGGTCGACAATTTTATCACGGGGGGGGGGGGGGAACTTTTTGCAAGTTCAGTGCTCTGGCCGCTCGACTATCACAACCTCTTGTTCAGAATTAGCCTGCGGTAGTTCTATAGTTAAAACAGTGACCCTTCCGGGTTAGCCTAGTCAAGCCGAGTTTTATCTGGTTGGGGCGATGTCTACTTGTCGAAAAAGGATGTATCCCAAGTTTTTCATATGTGTAGGATAAAGCACGAGACTGAGGTTATGCTGGGAAAAGAAAGACTTCAAACCCTCAACAGAAAACCCGAGGGTTTTTTTCTGAAGACTTTCTTCCCCAGAATAACCGAAGTCGAGTACTTAATCTTGATTTTAAACCGTCTTTACATGTACGCAAAATGAGAATATCCCATAATTCCCGTAATAAAAACCTTATATATATCATGTTTTCTTATGGAAAAAACCCTACCCTGGAAGAATAACCCGGTACAGGTTTAAAGAAAAACTTCCAGAAGAATAACCCCAAATTCCCCTGTACATGTATATATTCAAAGCCGCCCCCGACTTTCAGACCGCAAGTTATTCCAGGCATAGAATATACCCCAAAGATCAAAGAGATTTACTGTTACAGGTTTATAGGGGACAACAAAGTACACCGTAAGCTATTCGTTAAGTTCGATCATTGGACACCGTAAATTCATTTAGAGAGAATAATTCCTGGATATCACATACTCATCGCAGTGTTTCGTTTGATTAGACCTAATCCTTCTCAGAGGGATTTCTCGGGCCATAGCTTCAGAAATATGGGATACCGGCGTTTCTTTGATTTCCAAGAGATTAAGGGTTCCTTAACGTGAACATCAGTTGTACTTATAAGTGGACGTCGCCACCATGAAATAATCAGGGACAGACTGTTATTAAGAAGAACGCTAGACGGTCTAGTAAATATATATTAAGTCCTAACCGTTAGTAAATAAAATCAACTAGATAGAAGAATCCCTAGCCCTAACCCGGTGATGTGGAACAAACACGATTTTTTAGAAAATCGAATCCATAGTAAGAAACACACTAATGTGGCTCTCCCCCGAGAGCCTCAAATTTATTCGTTTTTCTTCAGAAACAAAAATACCAGAATACCAGAAGCACCATCCATGGAAGACCATCAGCGCCACCAACACCAAAAAAAACAGTGAAATCGCCTTTGTATATAAATCTAATGTATTGTATGTATTTTTAATAAAACTATCAAATATCACGAACTAATTTTTCATCATCCTAGGTCAGTGCTTATGTGGAGACTTAACCCCTCCCCCAAATTCTTAAACTTAACCCACATATGACGTCATATGTGCTAGACCGTCTCCGATCCGGGATCTTCTGTTTTTAATGAATGATAACAATTTGCCTGGGCAAACCAGCAGCTGTTTCATGCGCCCACATTTTCATGTGGACGTATTATGCCGTCGCCCCTGTCCGTGCGTTCACATTTTGTTTGTGGAAACTCTACAGGTAACAATTTTTATCCGATTTTAAAGAAACCTCAAATATAGGTTTATACCCGAAAGATCTCGGTTACTTTCGATATTGGCTTGTATCGGACCGCAACTTCATGGATTATGACCTCTAATTGTACGAAAACTCAAGTTTATAGCTTGTAAACAGTCTAGAGGTCACAATGTTTATATGTTTAAAACCATAAGGTCTCGGCTCCTTTCGATATTGGCGCATATCGAATCATAGCTTTGTGGATGAAAAATCACATTTTTATAGCGTGTGGAACCTCTAGAGGTCACAATTTATATCGGATTTTGGTGAAAATTAAAATATATGTTTATATCCCAAATATCTCGGTTCCTGTCCATATTGGCGCATAATTATCAGACCGTAATTTCCAGGTTTATCACCCCTGATTGTTCTCTATCCATCTCTTGCAAAATGTGGGTGTATTTTGCATGACGACCGCTTGTTTACTAATTCGTTGATTAGCTGGAAGAATTCAAAATTCTCTATAAACAATAACCAAACAATCGATTCATATCTTTCATATATATATATATACATATATATATATTTTTATTATACAAATCGATTAACAGAAATCGATCTATAAGTCAATGTTTGAAATAATGAAGATTAACAAAATATGACATCATAATTATGTATAATATATAGACGATGATAACATGAAATAATAATAATCTTCCAGCAATAAAGCAGTCTTTGTTATATTTTTAAAAAATTAAAACACCTTTAATTTAAGTCAGCTTTGATCGTGTCCATTTATATATAAGTGTATACAAAAACAATACTCTGTATCTAACAAAACAACGATTAAAAAATACTGAAATATAATTATAATATTTCTTTGATGTTTAGCTTTAAGTACAAAATAAAATATATCTTGTTCGGTTGCCTTTATCAGCAGAGTTATACAAAATAAACATTACATTTTATATGAAAGAGTTGCCTAGGAAAGGTTTATATGTTCGGGATCGTGAATAAGTCAATTTACTCCCTGTTTTTTTACATGTATATATAAATGTAGGGTTCTGTCGCTTGTGTAGAAGGAAAAAAATACCAGAATTTGTACTTGAAATAATTTGTTTTCAATAAAAATAATTTCAAATACATTGCATCATAAACTAAAATTAGCTTTTAATTTCGTTTCAGTTTTCATAATTTGGTTGCCCAAAACTGACTACAGAGAGATCTAAGAATCCTTATCGATGGATGTTCTGAAGTGGTCCATCGTCACCTTATATATGTATTGAATTAGGTGGACGAGTCTACCATTTCAGACTCTTGACAAATTGCCAATTTCTTTGGCTACAAAGAAATGCAACAGAATGCGTGCTCCTTAAACACACCCTTAGTTAGAGTTTACTGCAGTTTGAAGATTATCAGTCAAAAAGAAACGAAATTCGATTGGAATATGAGGCAGAGGACCATTCGTACAACCCTTTAAAATTCATTTACAAATCAGCGAGTGCAGCAGTCCCAACTATTATAAGTCCACATGTCTTCTCAAAATTATGACGTGATAAAATCGCGGTCAAGATTAACACTTTACTATTTTTCCTCCATTTTATTATTCGTGTGATATGTAATTCAATGTTAAAGTTTGATTGAAGATTGACCTCTTTATATTTCAATACCAGCTGTTTTTATCGAACTATCGTATGACCTGTATATATATTCATTGATTTTAAGTAAATGTATGACCTAAATCAATAATCTATTATATATTTTTTTTCAAATGATGACGTCTTCGTTCTAACCCGGTCACGTTGTTGTTTGTTAGTTGTATTTTACGTCCGCTTCCACCGAGGTGATATCGCAGACAATACCCGGTCACGTTTTAAGACGGTGTTTTATAGGTCGAAATCTGTGACAACCACCATAATTTTATCCCCAATATACAAAAATAAAGGAACTGTTTTCTCTGATTTATTACAGTTCAATTTCAATTCTTAATATTCCTTGAATCAAATAAGCAGGCCAAACCCGAAAAATTTTATAGATAAATAATACTATTTATTTTATTTTTTTTTTTTAAAAAAAGGTTATTTTTTAATTGCGTATCTTCTTTCCGTGCTGTGTCGTTTGTTGTTCAGTTCGGGGGGGGGGGGGCGAATTTAGCGCGTGCGCGTTACATCATTGAGTCAACTGGCGTGATTTCGATTCCCCGCTTGTACGTGACAAGCAGTGGGGTCGCTTGTTCAACCATGTGGGTTTTCTTCGGGGTCTACGGTTTCCTCTTACGGCTAAAGACCCATACGCGCAAGAGAATTATTGAAATAAAATTAAACTATATGTTAGTCCTGAAATGACCTGACTTGTGTCGAGTGGACGTTAAACCCCATCTCTATCCAGTTCTAGGAGACTTACATATAATCTTTAACTTGTACACGTACTGGTAACTAAATTTCACAAATATGCAAATGTTGTTAGACGAAAAAGATTATTTAAATTCAACACACATAAACTGTGGAAATTGGTTGATAATTTAACAAAATGCGTGGGGTTTTAATTTGATCTATGACGTTGACATGTTCGTCGGTGGGTTTCATAATGAGTTCCTGTTGAGAGAAAATAGGTAAAAAAAAGTGGGACGTGTCATTTAAAAATCGGAAATGGCAAAAAAGACATCCTAGACAAATTCTATTTCACATAAAATATGTATTAAATCTCCCCCCAAAACGACATATTGCTTAAATTTATATGTATGCCCCAATTAAACAACCCATCAAAACAATGGATAACAATGCAAATAATTTAAATAATTCATAAGCTACAACCTTATATTTCACACCGTTTTGCATTCCCCCCAGAATTTTTTTCCATATATTCATGGACAAATTTATAACTTTCACGGCACTAGAAAGACTTTGGGAATAATTGAATATTCTTTTAAACAAGTCTGACATCTTAAATTATCATGTTCATTTGGTGTAATTTATATTCCAATTCTTTCTTAGCTCGTTTAATAGAAAATGGCATCCGATGATTGTCTGTGTGAGGAGTTTCAATTTGATGTGCAATTACTTTTCTTTTTATTTAGATTATTTGTATGAGATAGACAAAATCAAAAATGAAAACAAGAATGGATTTTAAATATCATATTCGTGAATAGTATTTCAGTTTTGGTTTTTTTCTGGCCTACCATTACAAAAGCTCTAATGAAAATTTGAGCCGAGGCGAAAAAAAAATGGTTGCAAAGAGATTGAAAACAGTGCTTAAGAAGCATGTCGTCCATTGAGACTCCGTCTTAATGAATACATAATGTGTTCGTTTCTATTGATTGTGGAAGCAAGCGTCAGTAAGTTCCCATTTCACGACCAGATAATTTACAAGGAGAAACAAATTTTATTTAACATCGTAATTGTCTTCGACATGAACGACCTTAACGTGCAAAGTCAAGTCTCACCAGATAAAAGCGGCTGTGAATTGAACGACTGGAAAACAAAGAAAACAACCGAGAAGAAGGCAAGATGAAAAAAATTGTCGTCTGTTAGTCAACATTGGGAAGAAAACAACCCAGTGTCACTTGGCCCGACTTTCTTCGCAGTCCAATGTTTTATGCAAGCGTTTTAGATTGTTAAAATTTATATTGTGTACAATTTATCTAATAATTGGCAAAGTTCTTAAAATCGCGTACTTGTTGGCCTATAAGCAGAATATAATCGGTGCAGTTTATTTTCCATAAAAGGCTTCATTTCCTGTCAGATTATCATGTATGTCAGTGATACCAATATTCAAGTTATTTCCCACTCAATCTTGTATACCCTGGCGATATTAGCCTACTTGTTCTTTAGTAAATCCCACTCAATTTAGAATACCCTGGAAAAATAAACAAAATCCTTACAAAATTTTGATACATCTGCCTAGATGCAGCATACTACACAGACTGGGAGAATAAATTATAACCACAGTGAACAAAAGCTTATCCTGAATTAATTTACAATATTGTAAAAGGATAAAAATAGCAATAAGGATCAAAGAGATTAGTTTATAGATTATCACCCTAATAATTGAAAATTCAGTATAACAGTATACATGTACTATGAGCAAATACAAATTACCCTTGTCAAATTTTCATAAATTAACATACTTTCAGGCACTACAAAATACATATTAAAATTGTATTTAGTATGAAAGTTGACAGGTCTGTCTGGTGTGTTTTTTTTAAAACAATTGCTTGTTAAATGTCAACTATTTCTATTAATGTGTATATGGCTGTTTATTAAACGGTTTGTCAAATAAAAAGATGACATGCAAATCATGTCATTTTCTTGTGCCATTTATTGAAAATGATCAAAAACCATTTTATTAAATAATCTATAGGACTTGTACATGTAAGTTTATATTAGTTGTATTTTTAAATTTTGACTAAACTCAAATTTGTGTTACGTAAAAAATTATTATGCTGGTCTAAGCCATACTAAAACATACTTTTTTTTTTAAATTTCAAAAATTCAAAAATATAATAGCACTTCATATTTTGAATAAATTTATTTACGGTCTAGCCATACGTTTTTTTTTTTAATTTTAAAAATTCAAAAATATAATAGCACTTTATATTTTAGAATAAATTCATTTATAGACAAAATATTGTCATTAACAAATATAACAAAAAATACATTAAAATAAAAGTTATTTTGTGCTTCATTTGGTAGTCAATTTTCCTAGAATTTGAATATAATATCAATTGGAGTTATTTGTATATAATTACTGGCATATAAAAATTACAATCTCTGCAATGATTCATGTAAAAAAGGTTGGAGTAAATCAGAAATGAATACCACAGTCCTCACCAAATGGATTATAAATCAGTTTTTCTTGTGCTCTAAAATTACAAATCAGATAATTTTTTAACTATATTCTCAGGAATATTAAATAGGTTTTCTCAAATCCAGCACTCATTGAGCAAATACAGCTAAACAAATTATGGATATAAAATTTGGAAGAATTGAACATTACAATTTCTGATACACAAAATTGTGTTTTTTTAATCCATTTGGTTTCTTACCCTAGTAAGGGTTCAGGACTACATGTAGAATATCAGGGGTTATTTTACACCTCAAATTTGGGTACCTGTTGGTTAAGTTAGGTATTTAATCAAATCTGGGAGTGTGGTATGGCTTGATGAGTCATCAATTTAATCACAAAAGTAAACAAATATAATCATGTTTATTCTGGAAGTTGGAAAACTGTAAAGGTGAAATCTTTATATTTATTCATTATCTAATATTAAAATAGTTTTAAGCATGCTTCTCACTCCCCCCCCCCCCCCACGAAATCGTTTGACACAAATTAATTTGTTTAATATTGAAGGCCAAACAGGTATGAATGAATGAATGAAAGAAATGGGGTTTAATGCCCTACTTTGTCTGTGCCAAATGAGTAGTACTTGAAATTGTACATTTAGGTCAAGAATAACCCCTGAATGTAGATGTAAAGTAAATTGTCACCTTTCTAACATGTTGTTTGATGTATATGTAAGTTAATATAAACAGGCATAATTTAACCTATATTATCTCTACAACCCTACACAGTATTAATCAATAGGTCAACAAAAATATATACTAAAGACTTCTAATACAAACTATAGCAAGGTAGAAAAAAATACATCTTAAAATAAAAGCGGGAAAGTGATGTGCTGGCTTTCATTCAATGAATTTTAGCTGGGAGAAAGTTACATGTAGCCAGCCAAATGATACATAGCATGCCATTAGAAATTAGAATCCATGAAAGGCATCAACTAACTTTGAAAATTAACATTTTGAAGAAATGCAGCAATCGTATCAAGGGAATAGCTTTCAGAAAATTTGCAAGAGGTATCATCAAAATGATTGACATTTCTTCCTCCAGTTTTCCAATCGATTCTGGTGTATTTGATTCATTGTTTTATATTATTATTTACACTGACATGTTTTTTTTATTCTATTAACACTATATAAATGGTATTATATACACAATTTAAAATATTTATATACTAACTACATGTATACAAAATACATAAAGTTTTAATCTTTATTTGTTCCACCATGAGGACAGAACTGGAAAAGACTTGTGAGATCTATCAATATATTGTTTATTAATGTATATATCTAAGTATAATAAATGGTCCCTTATTGCTCCCTTTATCTAGGTTGCACTCTTATTCGGATTATTGTGATTTTAGTACACTTTGGTCATCTCACAAGAAAAATCGCAACAATCACTTTTCGTTACATCTTCAGTGTTATATTACTTCATTTTTCTTAGAAGGTCATTTTTCATTTTTTTCTTCTGAAGTGATTATATGACGAGGTAGATATTATGTTAAACTTTGTTTTAGGTATAACTACATGTATAGTCATAATCACTTCTCTTACAAATTTCTATTTTACCCTTCAGCCCTTTCTTTGAGTAACAGTTTGTTACGCTGCACTTGTACTTTTAATTAGTTTTTCAGGTTAAATTTTTTGGTGGGCATGAATAAATACTTTCCATACAGACCCTATTCATTACTCCATACAGTTTAAAGATTCACATTCACATGATGAATATTCTTTCCTCCGTCTAGCACCCAACAGCCCGGGGGTTCACACCAGACAACCTCTGTCCAGTACCAGCAACCTCTTTATAAGAATAACACCACTTGACAACATGGCCGACTTCCATAGCAACTAGTTGTCTATTAGCACAATCCTATCACATCATCACATATTTAATAGCACAGACATGTAATAAGTCATACATGTAGGTGGTTTTTTGTCACACAGGCTTTATAACAGATTGTTTTGAGGTATTAACCCTCTTTGTTTTGTAATTTGAAAGCCTAGAGCACTGTTTTGCCAGTAAAAAATAAGAACACAAATACATTCAGTTTCACTTCCCTAAGATTTCATCAAGTAAGTTGAAATCGGGCGTTCCTGAGTTTTGCACCATGCTGTCAAAAATGTCCGAGTTACTATTTTGAGCATTGTCTAAAAAATTCATGAAATCATCTTGCGTGGAGGATGGTGGATACCCACCTTGAGCAGTGTTTGCTGATGGCATTGGCGCCGAGTTAGCCATATTGTACGAACCAGATTGTGTTGGTCTGATTACACCATGCTGAGTCATTTGCATACTTTGTTGTTGCATCATCACCTGTGTTGTGCCATTTGGCATCATTGAGTTTTGATTCTGAATTGAGTTCATTTCTGGTCTTTGCATGTGCATGACACCAGGTGCCATGTTCTGGGCTGAGTTATTGTACTGACTATATTGCTGCATCATTGCAGCAGATTGTTGGGAAATTGCTGTTTGCCCAGTCATGGGTTGTCTTGGTCCAGTTGGTTGCATCATGGGACGAGGCCACTCATGATTTCGAGGTTGTGAGATATTGAGACCATCTGGTCCGACATTGACATTTGGGGGTCGTTGGTTTCTCAGAATTGCACTAGTGTATGTAGACGAGGCTTGCTGGGGTCTGGTTGGTGCCCCACCCCCTTGACTTGGTACACCAGATGGTGGGTAGGAAGGGGGTCTCTGCATGTGTTGGACCATATACCCAGACCTGGATGCTTGAGTGGTTTGAGCATTAGCTGAAACTGCTGCAGACATCGATTGCTGCATAGCAGATATTTGCATCATATTGGTGCCATTCTGAGGTTGTGGGGTAGGAATTTCACTTTTTACCACCCCATATCCACCAGTTTGGTCCACCATATTTTGCATTGTTTGAAGTGGATTCAGGGTTCCTCCATTTTGGTTAAAACTAGATGATTGCGTTCCTGGTTGCATCTTGTATTCTGGTGGTGGTCTATTCATATATTGGGATGGCATCTGACTCTGTTGAGCTTCCATCATCTGTCCCTGTCTTTGTCTCATTTGTTGCTGCCTCTCCTGATGCATCTGCTGTTGTCTCTGCTGTTGTTGTTGCTGTTGTTGCTGGCGCGTTTGTTCTTGTCTCATCTTATCTTGCATAAGTTGCATATTCATCTGTTCATTCATCATGGGTGGTTGCGTCTGATTCATGTGACCTTGCATTGTAAATGATTGCTGTTGACTCATGGAGATTTGTTGTGGTGCTTGTTGCATCTGCAGTTGCTGTGTTTGTGAAAGATGGAGTCTCTGTTGCCCATGAGATACTTGCATTTGTTGTGTTTGTGTGATCTGCATCTGTGGATTTGGAGATTGATTAAACTGAGTTCTAACTTGGTTTTGTAGTTGCTGTAAGGAAGACGGGGTCTGTGAACCTTGGTTTATGGGATCTGTGAAATGAGTGAGAGGTTTGGTACCACCATATGTTAAACTGGCCATATCTGGCTTCGTCTGCATGTGTGGAAATGATTGTCCTTGTTGATTATATGGGAATGAATTTTGTCCCTGTGGCATATTGCCAAAAGTCTGATGTTGAGAATAATTAGGATATTCTTGTCTCCTAGAATAGTTTTCACTCAAAGGATCAACAAAGGGATCCATTGTCGTTGATTTCATAACATATGGAGTATTCTGTTGATGTTGGGCAGCCATTTGTTTTAACGTGGAAGCCGCTGGTCCTGTAGAATCTGTTATTGGTGTGGATGGTGGGACATGCATATTGGTTATAGGATTATTAGCATTGTTCACATTTTGATTGCCATCAAACACAGGATTAAGAGGTCCCCGGGGTGGCATATTGTCTGGGAAAGATCCCTTACCTAATCCAGGAGATGTACTACTTAATGGACTATACATATTACCACTACCTGAATCATTGCAATCAGAATTACGCTGAACTTTTACACAAATCTCATGGAATTTATCGAGTTCCTTAATTATATCCGGTGGTAATTCACCTTCAACTTTGTCCAAGTTATTCAAAATATCTGTTAGTTCGTCAAGATTATGATCGTCAAATGCAATATCAGAATTACTACTTTTGTTCGATTCCGATGCCTGTTGATTAGAACGTGAAGGCGCTTGGCCTTGTTGTTGATTGTTGTTTTGTTGTTGTTGATACAAACGACACTGAGGTTCTTCAATCGGTTCCTGTTTACACTCGACACTAGTATGAATACTCGTTCCTGTAGTGGTTTGATTCCCCGATTGAGGTGAACCCTCTGAGTAATGTTTTAACGTGGAACTGACCGTTACGTTTGTTTGTATAGTTTGGGAATGTTCTTGTTGTTGATTAATCTTTTGTACGATTTGTACAGATAATCGCGGAATCTTATTTTCACTTCCTAATGATTGGCTAGTAGGAGCTTGTGGTGAGTCTTGTTCGTCAAAATTAAAAACGTTATCAGCAGATGTACTTCCTCCTCCTCCTCCACCAACACCACCTCCACCAGCAGATTGATCAGGTAAACCACTGTCTATCTTTCTCTTTAGTTTTTGCTAAAAAATATAAAATAAAAAACTTCATTAGAATGGTCATTAATAATACAATTTTGAGATAGATCTAGTAATCAAAGGCATGGGAATTCAATTTTGAGACAGATCTAGTGAAATGAAATGAAATGGGGTTTAACGTCCTACTACAAAGGCATATGTACACCTGTCCTTGAAAAAATGACTTAAGTTGTACCTGACAAAATGGCAGACACTAATAAACCAGTATAAATGTATCTGACAATTTTAACTTTGTGCCGGACATGTTCCGATATCATAAATATCATTTAAAACACTGAACTAAGAAAGATCTGTGGCAGACATTAGAGGAAGTATGCCTGCCAAACTTGACTGTACATAGATGCCTTATTTCCAGGCTTGATGTACACTATCTTGAATTTAAAATATTATTCAACTTAGGAATAATGTATTTTTCGGTATACATGTATTAGGCGTATGCTTACATAAAGCGCAGGTTGAGTTTGGCAGAGGTGTTTCAGGAAAAAATAAAAGTGCATGGTTTAGGCACACCCTTCTCCAGCGCCTTGTGAAACATGTACCATACTATACGCGACACAAATCTACCTGCGATCTCCAGTAACTGGACCAAACAGTTATAATAAGTACCGATTTCTGGTGAAAAAAAGTGCGCCTAATGTTAAGTCATAGACTTGTCATTTCTAAATGGAGTTAAAGTAAATAAAATAAAACCAAGTACGAACAATCCAAACCATTAGACAAAATTCGAAGTCCTAAAAAACGGTTTAGGCAAAATAGTGTAATAAGGCGAAATAGTGTAATCAGCATATGGACTGTTCACCGTGTACAAAATACACGACAAACAGTGGTAACAGGTGTCCGGATAGCAAAAAATATGTTGTTATTGTCTCTATTGAATTAGGTTGTTTAATAATTATATCATCAATATTGCAATATTCAGTATTATTAAACATACATTATACAAGAGGTAAATCTACATATTACAGGACTTTCATTAGGCCTGAAATGTTACCTAAATTATTAATTAAACATTTAAATAATTAACTTATCCATACCATAATCAACTCTCAATGCCATCGCTATCCCTTGATATTTAGTGGATTGGAATGCATTTTTTGAAAAATAATTAAACGTAAAAATGGATAATCGAAACTTATTTTTTATCGTACCGAATTTAGTAATGAGGATCGAGGCTAGCCTGAAATTCAAAAGCTAATATCTCGGTTCAGAGGGGGCTTTGAGTGAATTTTTCAGCATATTCTATTTACATTATCTATTTTTTATAGCAAGAACTATCTAATCTCTCATAATACTCCTTTAATAATATTATGCTTATACTCATTGCTATCTTAAACACTGATGTCACATTTTGTTTGCTTGTTAAACTTACGAGGGTCGATGAATTGATTTTCTGCATCTGCCTTCACAATATCAATAATAAGTAGTTTACCCGTTTTGCGGCTAAAGATGTGCAGAATCCATGTAGCTCGTCTGTACATAAAATCCATATTGTAAGAAAGCAAACAATATTGGTGAAGAAATGATTATTCAATGTTTAATTGGCCAGTTGGGTTAAATGAGAAAAAAATATATAATTGATAAAGTCGGCAATGTAATTTGATAAAGTTGACATTATTAACATTTGAATTTGTTAATTTTTTCGTGAATTGATCTTTTATATCACACCAATTTAATGTTTCACAATAATCTATCCCATTACAGTAGCGTTTTCTGATGGATTTTTAATTAAATTTAGCATTTTCTGTTGGATTTTTAATTAAATTTAGTCACTATTTGCTGTCACATGTATATTCTCTATTTTTGTTTTAGCAAGTTTTTCAAATTACGTAGGTAGGGTGCCAATTACATTACCACCATCGGTCCTCTAAAAACAAAAGCTATATGATCTAAGATGGTATATACAAGCATTATTACATACATGTTTTCATAGCTGAAAATGTGATCAATCTGGAATCCGTCCACTGCTTCATAGAATTTACCTTACTTTATAATGTACTTAATCATAATGTACTGGCTGAAGATTTAAAGAAGTTGAGTCTTTAAAATGTTTATATTTAATTTTTTGAACTTGTGAATGGATGTAGATGTTAAATTGTTAAAAATAAAACAATTATTTGACTACAGAGTAAATGATTGTATAAAAAAACTCCTGCACACGAAAAGATTCATTGACATTTGAACTTTGTACACCTACATGTAATAATCATAACCACATTAGACTTAAAATGACCTTCGCAACAATAAAACACATTTACATGTAACCCCAAAATGGGCAGTCCAATAGTTTGAAAACATTTGCAAAAGGTATAATATATCCATGAACTTTGAATGAATGACACAAACTATTTTAAATTTCACTTTCATTTTGATTAGCTTTCAACCCCTCTATAGGCGTTATAGGTTTCTCCTAGAAAATCTAGGCTCATCCAACGTAAAGCTCGAACAGACAATGGGGTTCAGTTAAAGAAGTCGTCCGAGCAGTCAACTAGGGTTGTTGCATATTTTTTCTAATGTCGGTAATAAAACATTTACAATACACTAAAATCAATGTGCTTTTTTGTCTCAAGACCTTAAACTCAGTGTATCAATCTAAAGTCAATGATAACTTTGGCCTGTAGAGCATCCACAAGATTTTTCGAAGTAATCAAGGGCCATACATGTAACTCTGGCAGTAATTATCAGAAATAGCTGAAAATCAATAAGCTTCTTCGTCTCATTATCTTAAACACTGTGTATAAATTTAAAGTCAATCCTCTAGAGCGTCCACAAACAATTGTGGATACAGGATGACCGACACTATACAACCACATTTTGTACTTAGTTCTTCATCCCTGAAGAAGTTAGTATTTTTACAAACGAAACGTTGGATAGAACGATAGTTTTTTGATATTGTATTCTATTAATTATTGTATACCAACTTATCTGAATATCAAATGCATCATTTTGACTCCGTCAAAATTGATCCCATCAAACCGTCTGTAATTGGTTTGTGTTACCTGTTTCTATTGATCAGAAGTTTCTCATGAAAATGTGGGCGTAAAAAACATTAATTAATTACAATACTAATTAGTTGTACATTACTTGACGAAAAAATAAATTTTAGTATGTATTTGTTAGAAAATGACTAATTGAGGATTAAGATAATATGACAGATACTTGTTACTTGTCATATTTTAATCCCAAGCTTGTCTAAATTACAATATTATTTTTGTCATTTTTTTTTACAAATATCAAATTCATATGATTTGGATTATGACTCTTTTGTACTCATTGCTTCTAATGTGTTGGTGAAAAATATTTAGGTTTTTATTATCAAATTTGGATTTAAAAGTTTAAATTATATTTTACATTGCCAACATCAGAAATAGATGTATATTAACAAGTACATGTATGATATACATATTATAATATGTATGTTTATTTAATTTTATTTCATTGTTCAGTTTACTAAAGTTGACCTGCTCTATCTGTCACAGACCGCTTATTTTATTTACAACACAAAATATTCATTTACTGATTCTTTATTTCCAGGCAATTTTTCCGAAAAAATTTCCAGGCAATTTTTTCGAATAAATTATCCTATTTTTATCATTCAAACATGAAAAATACACACAATTTCTGTTTTGTGTTACTATTGAACTTCGGGTTGCTTATATATATCAGAAATTTTCACTTTATTTTTGCAATAGGCATTTTTTGTTAGCTCTTGCATAATGCATGTTTAAAACAAATGCCAATTTTGAATACTGGTACAGAATTAAAATTTATGCATGTTTTGATTTTTTAATCAATATCAGTGTCTCATTTAGACTGAAGGAACAGAAATCAAATCTCTGGTGGAATTTTCTATAATGATTGACATACTCTTTTATTGCTTTGACCTGCTGATTGAAGCCAGTGAAAAGAGACAGGCAATAGAAGTATACAGAATCAACCAATGGCATAATTTCGACCAGCTGACGGCAAATCCCAGTCTTTAAAGCAGTAACGTAGGAACAGACGAAATGAAAATAACAACAGGATCATGTATTAATAATATACATGTACATAAAGACTGTTATCACCAAAAAATAGGTTGCCAGGCAACAAAACATACGTCCACAGCAGTTAATTCGACCAAAGTGTCCACAAAGGTTGTTGCATATTTTGTAGGTAAAAACTGATCAAAAGCAAGAATCCATGAAATAGTTAAAAAAGATTTAAAAATTGATTGGCTTGTGATTCTACCTGTGTATAAATAACAAATCAATCCGATAACTTTACAGTGTTCACAAGATTTCTGAAATTGATCAAGGGCCATTACTCCTACAGTAACTATCAGGAATCATTGAAAATCAATAAGCTTATTTGTCTCATCAACATACATGTAAACACTATAAATTTTGAGTCAAATGGATGACAACTTGAGCCTCTTGGGCTTCCATAAGATTTTTCAATTTGCTCTAGGACTATAACTCAGACAGTAATTATAAGAAATCGTTGAAAATCAAAAGGATTCTCTGTCTCATGAACGTAAGTCAATCGGATGATAACTTTAGCCTCCAGGCGGACCGACTTACAGGAAGTGACATGTGGTCATATAAAAATGGGAAGGTCGGGATTCAAATAAATTATTGTATCCTCTGGTCCAAAACAGCACAATTTGATTGGTCGACAAATGGCCAATGCTTTGCCATTCATATTATTTGCTGTGAAATAAAAATAATATCGTAATAGGGTACATATGAGAGAGAGAGAGAGAAATGGGGTTTAATGTCCACTCAACACAAAATAGGTCATTTTGGGACTAACATATGGTTCAATTTTATTTCAATAATTCGCTTGCACCTAGGGGTCTTTAGCAGTGGGAGGAAACTGGAGAACCCGGAGAAAACCCAAGAGGTTGGACAGGCGACCCCACTCCGGAGGACCCGGAGAAAACCCAAGAGGTTGGACAGGCCACCCTACTCCTTGTCATGTACAACCAGGGAATCAAAACCACGCCA